ATCTGTGAAGCTGAATATATATATATATCTTTAAACAGCTCTACCAAACACTACACATAAGAAGCAACACGCAGTTAAGGAATATTTTTCTGCCTATATGTTTTACCTAGAAGTTGATATATCAAGTGCTGCTGTAATTAAGACAGTCTGAATGCAAAAACTCTTCAGAACTCCTTGGTACATAGCAAGAGGGGTAAGATATATTTGCATGGGTGGTTGGTCTGTGGATGAAAATTTCCTCCACCTTCTAATCTGACTGCTTCCAACATATATTTTAAATGTATAAAAACAATGTCTGCAGTAAACTATTAGAAAATCTGTATCTCAATCCAATGAAATCACATACTCATCATGAAATCATAAATCATACTTCAGAAGTAAAAGGGAAAGTCTCACTTGCCTATTTTTAAAAATCAAATATTTTAGTTTTTCATTTGTTTTTCCTGTTAAGTGACTCTGATAAAGGGCAGTACGAACTTACTTAAACTTCCTGTAAAAAACTTTGCATTTGCTCAGGCTGCAATTCAAAGCCAAAAACAGTCATAATCAACTAGGCAAAAAACATTTGGCACAAACTACCTTATTAATAAAATTTATAGTGGACTGAGTTATTTCAAGATTCAATCTTTCAGGATATAGTTAATTTACTCAATATTGTTTCAACATTCTAAGCCATTACATACTTTTCTCAGATATCTCATACCTCAAACACAAATGGAAGTTTAAGACCTCTGTAAATTTAATTCAGATTTTCAATACAATCTAAACTTAAAGCACTAAGTCTAGGTAGTACATTTTTCTTGAAATGATTACTGCATCATTGACTACTAAATTGATAGACCCATAAAATTGAATTATGGCAAAAACAGTGTTTTTCACACTATTAAGCCACTGAACATATGAAAGCATAATGAAGTAGTTTAATTATTGCTAATCTTTTACAATAAACATAGATAATTCATTCATGCTTTTTTCAGGAAGCAGTAAAGAAATTCCATACTTTCAAGAATAGTACCCACCATTCTCCATTTCACGCAGAATTGGTAGGATCTTTATCTGCCAAAAGTTTTCCTCCTCTTCTGATTCATTTACTCTTGTTTCCTCTTCTAAGCCTTCAAAATACATTTAGAACAAGAGCATCCATTTACTGAAGGCTTCAACTTCTACACAAATAGATTGTTTTATTTTGTCGGTCAAAAAATCCTCAAAATGTCTTACGTTGCGGTATTCTAAGTTTGTTGATCTGTCCAAGTTTTTTTTTTTTTTTAAATTAGAATTTCTCAGAAAGAAAAGTTTCAAGCAAAACTAGATTAGATGAATCTTTTGTTACATACAGCTGTACCTTGTGTGTAAATTAAGGTATGTCATTTTTTGATATTACTGTTTCATTTGATCACTGAATTGGAAGATTAGGATTGTATTTACATCAACATGTCATACTATTTTTCAGCTGACCTTCATTTTTCAAGCATGTTAAAATTGTGCTCATATGACAGCTGTATTAAGAACATCCACACTGCAGGCATCCTCTAGGGCTAACAGTTTTATCGAGTAAACATGCACAGTCACTAAGCATGGTTAATTAACACTTCAATTATAACAGAGAAGCATGGGGAAAAAAGTCTTAATCGTTATTACATCCTCTTAGTGATCCTAACCACCATACAATGAATTCTAAGGACTTCCTAAGTAAATTTACATAAAATACATATTTCCTTCTCATTCTTTGTTACATGTTAAATTATTTCCTACACAGCAACCCGGAAGACGAGTATCAAACTATATGTACCTGGAAGATTTTTCTCCTCCAACAAAAAAGTGACAGAAATTTTGAATGCAACAAATTCCCAGCTTTCTTGGCTACTCTCAACAAATCTACTCTACAATGAATAACAAAAAAAGTGCTTCTTCCTTTCAGACAACTTGAGAGTCTACACAGAGCAGTTCTTTTTAACACTTTGGATTTTCTTAGTCTGCTTTGAGTATGAGAAACAAGGAGAAAATGTCCATCGGGAAATATAAAGCTGAAAACTGGCAGACCAATCAGCAGCTGTCTAGGAATCTTGAAACAAAAGTGAGAACTTGAGAACTGAGTACTGGAAGAGGTTGCCTAGAGAGGCTGGGGAGTCTCCGTTCTGAGAGATGCTCAAAAGCATTCTGGACAAGGACCTAGGCAGCCTTCTCTAGGTGGCCCTTCTTGTACAGACAGGTTGGACTAAATGATCTCCTCAGGTCTCTTCCAACTTCAAGCATTCTGTGACTTTTTTTAAAAAAATGAGTTTCATGCAGGTATTTTTATAGTTCCGGAACAGACAAAAAAGGCTTTATTATAATATTGAGGTACAGGATCTTTTTAAAAACAATTTATTATTTTTTAATAAGGAAACAAATCACATGTGATTCCACTAACACAAACAAAGCCATTAAAACTAAAGTACATATGTTTTCAAGCGATATTTGTCACAAAGTATATCCTACTGCTTGGCACAAGCACTCGCGTTTAAATGACCATGTAAATTCTTACTTAGTCCAAGCATAGTATTACCAAACACAAAATAAACTGCACTATATAAAACTGATATCAAGAGACTTTCACCATGAGAACTTCAAATCAAGTACCTCAGACCTTAAATTAATGACTGTGTGCTAAGCATTACTTCGGACAGCAAAACAATTAAATTCTCCTGACTACTTTAAAAGGTCGCTGCTTTTAAAAGATATATGTATTTTAAATACTGCATATTTGTATTAACCATAACTTTCTATGTGTATTTTATACACCAAGTAAATCTAACAGTGATATTTATTTCAACAGAACATATATAAATGCTGCTACTTCATGGATAAGCAAGCATTATTGTTAGTGTGAGCATACACATATATTACTATATATTATTAGATAGGTGAGTTATAAGAACTGTTTTATTATTACTACTTTTTCAGACTTATTTTTTTTCAAATCAAAAAGCTGATACCCTTATTTAGATTTTTTAATGATCAGTAGCTTATTTACTAAAACACTGCATAGGATTTGTATGAAGCGTTAAGTCATCTTCTGAACATCAGGGCACAGTTCAAAAAAGGGCAGAAGAAATGCTTGCACTGAACTTTCCTGCCACAAAACCTACGTACTGAATCAAGTATTTCCTTCCTTCCTAATTTGCAGCTATATTTCTGAAACTGAGAGGTGCAACTGACTTTTTAATTATATCACACACTTGCATAATGTTATGAAGCAATATGCAGAATAGTTCATGCATGTATGTATGTCAGACATGTCCAAGCCTCTCACTTGGGAAAAAAAAAAAAAATCAAAAATAAACAGAAAAAAAGACAAAGCCTTTCAACTTTTAAGTGAGAACAAAAAGGACTGCATTTTGGCACCACTTTTTGCCCTAAGTGTGATACACTTGTCAGAAAAAAAAAAAAAAAAAAAAAAAAGTATGAAGCTAGAAGCCATATATTCTTTATATTTGACATAATTATTTTAAGCTAGTATCTCTTATAACTGAAAAAAGAATTATAATCAACTTTTTACAAACAATACTAAATCTAGCAATAAGAATTAGCAGGAAATATTTGATTAAAGAAGAAAAACAACAGTAAGTTGTAAACTTGCATGTCTCAGTTCTAGGAGATTTTAAAGGTGCCAATGAAAAGCTTTAGAACTAGTTGTATTTAAAGTATTTCAGGAACTATCCTGAAGTTTCTATCTGAGCAAATTACAATTCAACAGGAAAAATACTCAAGCAAAAAGTTCAGCAACTTGCAGATTTTGCTGTCTCAGTTTTTCACAGGTCTTAACCACAGCTTTGCATTCTGGTCAGGAAAAAAAAAAAAGTCACTAATCGGTCTACACTTATTGGTTGCTGTTTTTAGCATGTACATACAAGAGCCTTAGCAACACCGAGCTTTCAAAAGGCGTGTACTGCCTGACTTATCGTGTTTAGCCTTTTCACAGAATACTGAGCGGCTACAAATACATCAGTGTTAGAACAGTCTAGCTCCTTGCTAAAATGTGAAAGTATAAACATGATCATATTTGAAAAAAGAAATAATCTGTACGTGAATACTCCCTCTCAGTACAGTTGAAGAAATGATTGTGAGCTCCTAGTGCTTCCCCGACATTTATTCTGGGGTTAGGGATGAGGTATGTGTGAACTATGGAAATTATACAATGTTAAAAAAATGCAAATAATAAAAAATAATCCTAATGACACTTTTTTTTTTTTTTTAAATAGCACAAATAGTTATGAAGCCTGTAATTAGGGAAAACACAATCCCACAGAGTACTAACTCCATAACATGATAAATACTCCCAGCTCCCTCTTAAGACAATGAAAGCAGAGTTCATCACAGCCTCTGCCACAATTACCCAGAACCAGGCCCAGGCTTAGCTCTGGTAAAATAGTAATAAAGCAACAGCAGACTAGAAACTTCAGGTTTACATACGACACTCAAAGAAAATCACTAGGATTTCTCCAAGTCCAGTTATGCAAACTAGAAGTTTTTACTCTATCACATACTATGTGAAAGAAATCTATTCACTATGTATGAAGTGAGCCAGCTAATAGGAAATATTATTTAAAATTTGTTATGTAAAAATAGCAAAATGCATTCCTACAAGGGAATCCAAAATGCCTATCTCCAGCTAACACAGCTTGGCAGAGCTTTTATCAGTTTTGAGGCAACTATGCCAGTTTACACAAACTGATGGGCCAACCAAGCATTAACATTTGGCAGGTTCTTAAGTCTACACATAGGAAAACTAGCATTTCTGCAAGAGAAAATATCAAGAGATCTTCACTTTAAAAATCTAGTATTGTTTTTCTACAGCAAAAACACTAAAACAAGAGCGTATTTAGAAAACCAAAAATACTGTTCAGTGAAAAAATAAGAAGATCCTTAAATCACAAGACTTAGATTATTTCCAATTGATTGTATTTTGCATCTGCAAATGTAAGGAAAAAAACATAACAATGAAAAAGAACAACTATTTTGACTGGAGATTGAAATGCTTTATGAAGTACCTGTTAGTCTTCTTTTCCCACTCATATTCCTTGTATGTGATGAACTCATGTCCAGCTTTTTCATTTGGTCACTAAAAGATACAATGTAGATACACACAAAATATTTCAGAATGCGATGCTCAAAATTCTTTCTCTTCAAAGGCACTGAATGACATCAGCATTTCAATAGTTAATTGGAAAAGATGAAAAGATGAATAAGCCAAGGTATTAGCTTATTCATTCAGAAAATAAAAGACACTCGAATATAACTTGCTGCAGAATAATTACAAAAGTAATTACAAAAAGATCCTTCAGAAACACTGACATATTTACACCACAAGAGGTCACCATTATGGAACAGAAAATGTAAAAGCACTTCCAGCTGTACAATAAAATTGAAGGCCTAAATAAATCATGCTGAGAATTATCCATTTTTTTCTCATCAATTTCATTAACTGAACATAAACTCAAATAGTTTAAAACTGTAAATCCAGTCACAAGGACAGTCATTCTTCCAACAGAATTACCACTTCCGGAAGATCTAATGAATACCATTTTTAAAGACAGAAATAACTTAATCAATAATCTTTAATCTATAGAGTATACTTCCCAGCTTTGTGTGTGATCTATTGCTAACTGCAGTGATTACTGCTTTTGTTAAAAAACAGGCTATGCTGTCATTTCTTTGTAAAGCAACACTAGGTAATGCCCCAATTCCTCATGCTTGTATGACTAGCCTTTGTTTGGCCAAAGAAAACTATTACATACATGTATGATAAATCTGTTAGGCTATCTGTATTTTCAAGCTGCATTGATCTAAAAAATACATAGAGGCTCTAGACTTCCATTATTATTAAAACAGGAATCTTCCCCTCCCCCGCCCTTAAAATCTTGTACTAAAAATCTTGGTCTATGTTTTCTACTCTTGGCATCTAATTTAACAAATCTTATTCTATTTATAGCTCATGTACTGATATAACCTAATCTCCTAAATTTCCTTTTACAGATAAGAGTAATGTGCCAGCAATATTATTGGAATTTTTTTTAACCTGTTAATTTGGTTGCTATGAGACTTAAAGCTAAAGTCTTGTTTAAGTGGTTTGCTGGATTGGCGCCTAAATCCTGTCTGCCAGTCCAGACAGAAGATGTAAGTCATCCCATCAACAGATGGAGACTGAATAAAAGACAAAGCTGCTGTAAGGTCACTTCCCTACAAGGGAGGAACTAGATAGCTGATTGCGGTGGGTCACAAATTTCCCAAGCAATCACACGACAGAGAAACACTTGCTTCATTATGGTTAACGGTGAATAATGCTTTCTTTTTAAAGCATGGGGATTTAAGTGCTCTACGATCCAAATCATAGTTACCCAAACCACCTCTAAATTATTTCAGCTCTTACACAGCAATGCCTGTTTCTGGGGAAGCAATGCTTAAACAAAACAAAAAGAAATCAAACCAAAAACAACAAAAGAAAACTTACACCTCTAAAACAGACCACCATCTGCATACACATACGCTAGAAATGACAGTCACCACAGCACATGTAACTATTGACAGCAGTTCAGTATATTAACACACATCAAATTTGGTTTCATTTATACCTTATCCTGTAGACTTTAAAATTTCAAGTACTGAATTCATCCAAATCATGCTTGAAACCAAACCTACAGACCCCATAAAGGTGGCTGGGCAGACAAGAGGATAACTACTTCATCCACCTGGGATAAACACACTTCACTCTTAAGAATGACGTGTAGGTACGATGATACCGTTTGCCTATGTTAATAAGGATTTTGAGCCTGCTTTCCTCACCAAAATACCAAGTATCTTGTAAGTATCTCTACCCCCAACCAGAAAATGTAAGTCCATAGGATGAATCCAAGAAATCTCAACAGACAATACTATAAGTTCTGCAGGAAACAAACTGCTGAACAGAAGGGACCCTGAAGCAAAGGAGGTGGTAACTTGAACACTTATCAGACAGAGACACCACAGACAAGGGACCACAAGAAAAATCTAAAAAAGGAAGAGAAATAAAGAAAAAAAATGGTTCCCTTGGAACCTCTTCCTTCTTAAGCACCAAGATCAATCAACTGAGAGATGCAAGCATGTAGAAAACCAGACTGCTGCAGCACTGGCAATCACAGGCTTGTCTATACTTTAGGGGAAATATGTCCTGATACCTTAAACAGCTGCCAGGAACTGTCATTAGATCCAGGCCCAGAACATACCGAGTACATGTATAAGTGAGAATGACTGGTATGCATACTGATCTTTAGGAAGTATACACAATTCATGAATTTTGTGAGATTATAAAATCCCTTTAGGTATCTTTACCATGCTGCCAACTGCATTTTAGAAAGGCTTGTGATTTTTCTTTTCACTTTCTTATACAACCGAAACTCTAAGAAGCACTCTGTCATTAAGAAGGATCCAGTTAAAATGTAATCAACTTATTCTTAAAAGAATGTTACCTCCTCTTGAGGAGAACTGGCTTGTCAAGAGAAGGGTTGCCTTGGAAACAAAGGGAATTGGCAGATATCTGTTCCTCTGATAAAAGACTCATCAAGCAACAAACTGACAGGGGTACTGATGATTTATACGGGAAAAAAAGAACTTGGCAACTGGATCATCTCTCTCTTCAGCAGGTCTGGTGAGGGAGATCAGAGAAGCCCCTATGAAAGAATGCTGCTCTCTTGAGCATATGCAGACTGGGTGAAGACTTCCCAAGAAAAGGTGAGATAGCACAGTGAGATGCGAGTTAGGATGTTTCCTCAGGGAGAAGAGAGGGAGGGGAAAAAATGTTAAGTGAAAGGAGCCTTCAGAAACACAAAAAGTGTCTTTTTTTCCTTTTATATTTCCTTGTATAAACAGAGACTGTGACTGTCAAGGCCAGAAAATCACTATTTTTATTAATTTCCTTGTTAGTACCAAGGATTTAGTGTCCCCCTGTTTATTATCTAATTCCAGTTAAGAAGGACTGCACAGGTAAATATTAGCACAAATCAATGTTTCTGTGCAGAACTAATAGGCAGTCAAAGCCCAGGACCCCAAACATTAAAATCGGTAGGAATGCCCTCTCCGGCCTCAGCAAAAGTGCTGAAAATTGTACCTATGTTCTTTTTATTCCAAGATTACTTAATTTAGAACTCAAAAATATGGCTCAAATTCTTACAAAGACCAGTTTTATTCTGGGTCCTTGGGATGATGACCTTTTGAGGTCTTAGAACATCCTGCAGCAGTCCCTGTCTTTTCACAAGCCTCGGAAATCAACCTGTGCACGACAAAAAGCAGAAGGTGTTTATACATAAATAGAAGCACTGAACATCAGATCTTATAAACATATGCTGTGTGCATTGGGAAGACAGATGTGATGTATCTACACCAAAACACAAAAACAACCTGCCCCTCCTCCCCAAACACACACACAGTCTCACTACCTAGTGAGAAGAATAGATCTGCAGCACTACTAAGCAGATCCTGGAGACCTGCTGGGCAAACTAGAAGCATAAGAACGATTAGGTACAAAGTAGATCCTGCCCAAACTAGATTACAGTTCGGTCCTCCCTGACTGTGGGTAATCCTGCAACAGGCAAGCTATTTAACAGGAGCGTTGACTATAGTGATATATATTTGAGATATACATTAAAAATGCATGTGTTCACTATGTGATTACATCTACCCTATAACCTGGGTTTCTTTTTAACGCTAGCAGTATGTAAGAGGGCATGCCTTCTACATAGGCAAACAGAATTTATTCTACATTAGACTATTTTACTCAGACATTCCCAAATTCTATATGAACTAAAAAAGGAAAGTTGCGAGATATTGTGAAAGTACATACATAACAAGGCAGTTGCAGATAACAAGAGTTACAGGTAACTAGTTTTTCCTCCTTTGAGTGCCTGTCATGCAATGTGTGATTTCAAAAGCAAGTCATACTGTCATGATTTTCACAACCCCACAGAAAAATATTGCCTGGAAAAGAATCTCAGAGTTCCTTTGGGTCTTTATTTAGTTGGTCAACATCACACTGTGAATCCTCAGAAGGAGCACTGTGCTTAATAAAGTATGAACAGAACTAGATACTAGGAAAAAGGGAAAAGCCATTGCTCCACAGAATGTTAAACCAAGAGTTCTTTACTTGGAAAAGATGCTACACAGTCAACGGAGCAAATACTGAGAAAATAAACAAATTAAAATTACGTACGTGCATGCTGCATTTGTAGCTGGCATATGGCTAAGAGGCAGACAAGCTATCGTCAAGGCTATCCAGACATGGTAGAATATTTGTTAGAATCCAAAATTGTTCTTGAGGGAGAAAAGCTTTAGCCACCAAGTAATCCAATGCCGCTCTTAAGAGCTTTTAATACTATAAAGAAGCTAGATTTGATTCCTGAATGTTTTCCCGGAGATTCAGTAAATATACTGCATTTGAAATAAGACCAAACACCTAAGTCCCTTCCAAGTAATTATTTTTTGCAAATGAGGTATCCAAGATCAGCTATCCAAGATCATTACCTTTCATCTCTCGGATTAAACACAGAAGCCAAAAATATTACTTATTATAAAACACAGATACTTATGGCATGAACTCTTGATCAAGGTGGCAGTAACTGCCTTACAAGACAAGATGCAAATCAATTTTCCTCCCACAGCAATAGAATTATTGCTACTAAAATTTTACATTTTGGATTTGAAACAAAACCATTCAAGTCACTTGAATAGAAAATTCGTAACTTTTAGTCCTAGTAACCACTGACTATGTAAGGGCATCTATGTGGATATCCAGCACTCCAGACAGAGAACAGCGAATGTGCATTGCTCAGATGAAATTCCATACTTGGTGGCACACACTCCGAATTTAACCTTAAAACCCACACACACACACACCTCATCCTCATTTTTTCTTAATCATTTTTTTTTCCTTTGGTAGGCTCTACTTGAGGCCTCCCAATAATGACAGTTACACTATGCAACAGCATCTGACAAGTACTCTATTCTTCTAGGCAAAGCGCTGATTTCCACCACTTTCTCTTAAGAGAATGTGTCAGTATTTTTAAAAGGAAAGTTCAGTAGCAGATTACCAAGTCAGGAACAGGTGTGCCTCAAAAATAATCAAATTACTAAAACAGCATAACTTTTAAAGAGTATTTTCCTTTCAGAAAACAAAGCAGATGTGGTAAATATACTTACTTTAGCTGTGTACAAGTTAAGCTGAAGTATTAGAGTAATTACACAAACCTACGATCAAGTCTTCTGTCTTGGCTATGAAGATTTTCAAAAGCATGAAAATAATTGAAAAGGATAACTGATGATGTAGATGTCCTCTAATTATTTCACGAATTAGAGAGGATTGTATCATAAGCGACACCACCAGAAGTGACAAATACATAAAAGGAATGAAGACTATAATGGAAGCTACAACTAAGACCACCAGCTTGAAAAAGGATAAATAACAGAAAGACAGCATAATTTGCCAAATATGTCAACAAGAAGGCCAACTACATTCTGAGTCATTCTAAAGATGAGCAAACACAATTCCTCTGTAAGCATAAGTCCATTATTTATGACAGCTCTAGCAATAAAAAGCACATTGTTTCGATGGGCTATTGATCAGGAACTCTGTGTGCATGTTAAATAGTATAGTTTAAAAGAATAATAAAGGTTGATGAAAAATGTACATCCTGAACCTTTTGATTCTTTATAGTTTTTGCATTTTCTGTTAATACATAAAATTTTATTGACTCTATCTATTTGTGTCAAGGTATCTTTAAGCAAGCAGATAATGATTAAAATTACAATTGGTTAAAAAATAAAACACTGAAGTAGTAGTGAAACATATTGGAGTCTGAAAACTTAAGGTGCTGTAATACTTCCATTTTTTTCAACTTGAATCTCATATAAGCCCCTTCTCCAATTTTTATTCTGAAAAAAATTCCATCTAAATTCTTTATTATCACAGCCCTACCTAGACCATGGAATAATATTTCTTCATTACCATTCCCCACTTCTCTATTTTGGCAAACAAGTCTCAATGGATAATAAGGAGATTCAAGACCTGGTTTTCCCAGATTTGGAGACCAGTGACCTTATACTGAACATAATAACTATAGTGGAAAGACTCCATTCAGACCAGGCAGTAAAAGTGAGCCTAAACTCCATTCTCACTTTCATAAGCAAACAGACCACATATAGACCACAGCTGAGTTGGTGTTTTTGTTGTTTGTTTTTGTCAACTTCAAAAGTTCTGTTCTGAAACAGTTCCTCATTCCTATTTTTCCTCCCATTATCTCGTAATTCTATATAAAAAAGACCCCTTCTCAGGAGGGAAGGTATCACACATAGTATAGCAGAGCATAGTATAAGAGTATAGTAGAGCATATATAGAGCATAGCAGAAGGCCCTGCCTTTGAAAGTTGTCCATTTCTTGATGGCTTCCTTCTTAAATAGTTATCTTAACAGCTACTGGGACAGGAGCAGAAATAAAGAGCAATACTACAGTAGGAACAACCTGATTTCTTGTGTTAAGAAGTCCAGAAGTTGTGAATACAAATAATGAGGTAAGACAAATTCTAGAGGAAATCTCATCTGAAATACTACCAGTTAAAATAAATAAGAAGCTAATACTTGAACCATGCCATTGGTTTCAAAAAATTCAGGCAGAGCAAATTAGAATGAGCATTCCCTTCAGGAAGAAATCCATCCCTTTTGTAAGAAATTTTCTTTGAGGAGACAAGGAATGAGTCTTGGGCACAGGGATGAAACTAGTTTAAGTTGTCAGGTAGAAATTACTTCCTATATTAATTTGCTTCCTGATTTTTGGTTTTCTATACAAGAAATCCAAAAATATGAAAAGCAGAGGAAAGAGAAACCAATCTTATAGGATCAGCTGATACATATTTCTCAAAGGTTCTGTCAGAAAGGTATTTGCAAAAGGACAACAGCAATGTCAAAAAGCAAGGCACAGTTTATCTTCTTTGCAGAACCATCTTATTTTCTTAAAGCAATTTACAGAAAGCATTAATTAAATAATAAAGTGTAGAGCCACCAGGGAGTAAACTGCTTGCTACCAAGCGTTTCCTCTTTGAAGGCATCTATATTTCTAAGGAGCCCAGGGATGATGTTCACACTTTCAGAATATTGAGAAATTGGAGGGAAAAAAAATCATCTTTTCTCACCAGGGAAAGTGTTGCTCTTTATCAGCAAATCTGCCATCACTGCTGACATTTCTGTTGAAATATATGAATGCAGAAACCATTTTAAAATTTTCATTTCTATAGCAATCACAATAGATAGCAAGGCACAATGACTGCATGAAGATGTAAACAAAACTAGGCTTCCTTACAATTGCCAGAAACTGCACCTTACTTACATGAGGAAATGTCAATTAATTCAATCTGCTTCAATATAATTAGTTGGTTATTTGAGAAACAGAATAGCAAGTCAAATGACAAAACCCTTTCCCCAAGAAGGTCTTTTTTTTTTTTTGCATCTTTATAAAACAAACACCACCACCATCAAAAAAACACTTTCTTTTCATCAGTCCTTTGGACAATAAAAGCAAAAAATATATACGGAAAGTAAGCTTCTAGCTTGAATAAGATACATTTATTTCAAAGAGAACAGGAGAAAGTAATGGCATTAATGACAGGAATCTGTCACGCTACTTTAGCATGCACTACAGGTTCACCACTAACAGAAAAACAGCTTTGTTAAAATTCTTCTCTAACATATGCAGGATCAGTGGAGAAAGGGGAGCAAGGAGTCCCATACACTTTCTCTTGTAGGAATTATACTGTCTGTACAAACCTCTTGCTTAGTTCCTGAAAGGTTTTTAAGTCACTGGGATATTGAATTGAGGCTTACACAACTGCTTCATATGGAGAATGACAGGTTTCTGGATAACGGAAATACTCCCGTTCTTCTAGGTCCTCACAGTATTATTCCTGAGCATAACATACTTAAATAGAAAAGATCTCTTAACTCTGCACAGGATGCTTCAAGTATGCATGACAGTAATTTTTGTGCTTGGATCACAGCTGCTTCTTAGTACATGTAAACATGTTCTGTGGAGAAAGAATGACAATCTGCTACTGCAAGGATCTCCTTAAAATAACTCCTATCAAGATTAAACTCAAATAAATATTTTGGAGGATAGACTTGTAATACATTTCAATTCCCTTGTGAATCAGAAGAAGAATGGCATCCCTGAACTCTGAAAAGGATATAGATCGAGGCCTGCTTGGCTCATGTAACGAGATATGAAGAGTAAACTGATGTGCTCACAGCTTTTAGTCTTAGCAATGAGTCAGAGCTGTTTGAGAGCAGTTGGGATGATCTAGAGTCATTTCATCAGTTAACGACATGAATGGAGCTGATATGGATTGGAAAACCGCTTGAAGTTATCTGTGTCCTTTAATAAGTGAAAGCATTTTGTACTGTTCTTATGCCCACAGCACGTATGTCTGATACTCTAAGCGTAAGATCCCATAGGTGTCAAGTGATTCTTGGCACAAGGCACAGGCAGATCTCTTGGGCAGCATGTACAATGCACATAAGGTAAAGACATTTGCAAACATAGATCTTTCAGCATTCAGTGTAGAAAGAGGCAGGAGTTTTCCGCTACACTTGTGTTTTGGAGAAAGCTAGTCTGAGCAAGAATGGAAAACCTTCTCCCATGTTAAGTTCATTATTTTGAAGTCTAATTGAAGATAGTACGTGTTAATAAGGTTCATCACCCCTAGATTTTTTCCTAGTTCACCAAGATAGCTGCATTAACTGTCCAGCGTTTATGGTCAGAATCACTGTATTGAAAGATAGAAAATTAAGATGTCATAAAGAATTAAGGAGGCAAACTTTATGAAAAAAATGAACCTTGACTCTCAACATATGCAAAATGGTATTTGAAGAAAACAATATTGAAGGCATGCATTTTTTTCCCCTTTTGAATTTCTATGTTTTCTAACATTCCTTTTGCACATTCTGAAAGAAAAACTGAACTTGACAGATTGGAATCTAAAAAGTGTGAACCACAGGATGGCTCTGAAATTGATGTTACAATTCAATACAGATACTCATTCAAGAAACCTCTAAAATTGACAGTCTGACCTCACCTAATTTACTAGCTGCAAACAATAAAAAATATTTTTGCTTTTCCTGCCTTCAATCTATGATTTTATGATTGGTTAAAGATGCAGTTTTCAAGACCATACATAACATACCTCACTACACGGTAAGTTGCTCATTTTCAACATTTGGTATTCAGCTACAACTTAATTGGTATAGTATAAGTAATCTCCCCTAATTTAAGCTTCCTGGTGGTCAGTCTGTCTTGTCTATTTATCTACTGATCATCAGTTTGGACTATGCTTAGAGTAATTCACAAGGCAAGTAACAGCAAAGTTGCCAGACTGTTTAGATTTACTTTTTTTTTCTTCTTCTCAATAGTTTTTATATAATTTATAGGTATTGAGATGAAAAAATATCAAAATTCTCAGTCAGTAAAGTACAATGAGCCCAAGAAAAAGGTATGTAAGTCTGTTCTTCACACCTGCTAGTTCACACAACACAACCACTACTACTATTCCACCTTTATGGCCAAGGAGTTCATAACGGAACTAAGCTTTTTTTTTTTTTGTGTTGGATGAGTTCTGCTTTTATCAGTAGGCGCACAAAGAATCCCCTTCCCTGCCTCCAAAAACACCAGAAATGAACACACTGTTTTAATGAACTAAACCTTCTTGTTTTAGTTCCACAGATAAGTAAAACAAGCTTAAACCATAAAGATAATTACAAGGATTTTAAACTTTAGCATTCTATATACAATTACTAGAAGACTTGGCCTGAAAAGGTTAATTATCAAAAAAAAAAAAAATCATACCAAATAACACTCAACCTACACATCTGGGGGCAATTTACACTGGATTATTCCTGAGAACTGAAGGGTTAAGCTATTATTGCCTAACAAGCTAAACATTAATTCATTAAAACAAATTTATACTGCTGCCTTCAAATTCCATCAATGCTAACCTAAACACATTGATACTTCCTCAAACAAACAACTAGGAAAAGGCTGTGCAGAAGTTAAACAATTACCATACTCAAGCATTACTGACCTTTCGCCTCTCAGTTGAAATAAAAAATTTCCTGCTGTCCCTTTCAGGATGTCTTCCCTCTTTGATTTGCTGATGTGCTCATTATAAATTAATTGACTCTTTCCACTGTTAAATGGTTTGTGCACCCTTTGTTCTGCTAAGGGGTTTTCATTACTTCTGCAAAGATTATTCACCATAACTGGCTCTTCAGAATTCATCTTTTCCTCATCTGAAATAGCCAAAGAATATATTTTGTGGAAGTGTTCTTACACAATAAACACAAAGGAAGGAATTCAAATTAAGTAGTTAATTTTTATGTCACAAGATCAGAATTCGCTCATATCACTTTGAAAAAGAAAAAAACCTTAAAAAAAAATTAAGGCAAAGTGTTCTACTTCGCATACCAGTCTTTATGGACATAATTTCTCAAGTCACCTTAAAACCTTGCTCTTTCAACTAGTATTTTGATTTTATTTTCTTTTTACAAATAGGCAGATTGTATCTTGCAAAGGAGATTATTTTTCAGTACTGGAATCAAGGAATTAAAGCAAAAGGTAGTTGTTAATCTTGTACCTCTGAGCTATCTATGACAAGAACCTGCAGAAAAAGCTTAAGTGAACATCTGCACAAGAATGGGGCAGGAGGGAATGCAGACTGCCTCCCATAAAACAAAGGCTACAGCTACTCAGCTTGTTGAACTAGTAACATCAACGTATAAGGGTAATAGATTAGACTATGCATAGGAGAACAGGACAGCAATACATACTTATTAAAGATCTACTGAAGACGTAGCAAAATCTTGTACATTTTGTTTAAGGTCAATTATCTTATTCTGCAATCAACTTTTTTTTTTTTTTTTTAAGAAGCGAGATATTCAGTGCATCACGTAAAGTATCAGCCCCATGCAATGAAAGAACTGGGGTTATTACAAATGAGTCTTTGTTAAAGATGGAGTTCCAGCCTGTTTGATAATGAGTCAGTTTTCTGGAAAGCAAGACATCAAGTCATTTCCCATCTGTGAGAAAACTACTTCCATATCCCACGTTTCAGTGACTTTTACTAAATCTCGACTAATGAATCTCTTAACAAAGTACACTGAACAAATACAATGTACTTGGAGGCCTGTCAAGGCATATCACTCCTCTCTACCCTTCCTTTTATACTCAGTCTCCTTAGATGATGCCATCTCATTATCTCTTTAAACACTTCAGCAGTTAATGCTAATTTTACCCACTGAAGTAAACATTCGTAAGAAACTGGCTTACTGAGAAATCTATAGGATTAAAAAAAAAAAAAAGGCATCTCAGTAGCTCAGGAACCTCCAGCCCATTATCAGAAGTTAAAGTCAGTATCACTTTTGGTTGGAAACCATCTTTGCAAAACTGTCTTTAAGCCATGTAAATCTCTTTAAAGCGTACTCTGAGAGCATTTGGAAGTCTATATTATGGTAACATAATGACATTTGCAATTATGAAGAAAAAAAAGAACAAACAAGCAAAAAAAAACAAACAAAACACTGTATGCTCTAACTTGTATCAAAGCATTCTTACTCTGATCAGAGGGAAATATTTTACCAAGAAGGGAATTTTCCTGAGAAGTTCTTCGAAATAAGTCTGCTCGAGCATTGCTGACTCTTCTAACCTCCTCTGGATCCACAGGAGGTTTTGGAAGGGAAATGGAAGAATCTTCATCTTTTGCAGAAGTGATTAGTTTTGGCTTCTGTCACAAGGATATAGAAGCTCTTACAAAAGTATAGTCAACTTCTTTTCCTGTATAAAAATTTTCCCCACTACCCTTCGTATAAATAATTTCTTCAATTTCAGAAAAGTATATATGGGAATAACTAGTGGCAGTTTAATAACCATAAATTTGCTCATTAGGAAAACAAATCCAAATTTTGATAAAACCATTCCACTAAGTCACCTATACCAACATCACCAAACAAAGCTATTTAAAAGCAAGCATTCAGGGGTGTAAATACAAGAACCACCAACCTGAAAAGAGCAACTGAAACTCAGAAGGATTTATTTCCCTCATACATACTCACTTAGCATTATCTTATTTATCATGAAAATGTTGCATCAGAGATATGTCCTAATAATTCTACAGGCATATCTATTCTAAGGCTCTCGACCAATTTCCCTATTATAAGGAAGGGTCTACTAGAGAGTCCTCAGCCCGATCTCTGGAGTTCTCCCAGGTATGAAGAGAGACAGGAGGGGAGAATCAGCCCCCACACTCTGACTAGTGCAATTCCTACATTGACTTACTTGCTTCTATTGACTGAAACTTTTTGCACTGGCCTTAACAGGAGATAAGCTTGTTTTCTTTTTCTTCCACTCCCATACATAAGTTAATTGAAACAAATCTAACATCAGGATGTAAATATACTTAATATAGACATAAGCACGGTCAGATTTTATTTGATTGTTGTAAATACACTGCTTTATCAAGATTACTAAATTCTACCATTTCTTAGATTGTTTTTCCCTAATTTCCCCAGAGTATTATTCTGGATTAAAGAAACTGTACATAGCATTAACAAATGTTAACTGCTCCAGTGTGCTCTGCTCTACAGAACATTAAATAAATGACCATGACATAACCTTATGTTTAATAAGATTACATTTAAAAAACCCACAGTACATGTGTTACAACATGAAAATACTTCAAAATTCTAATCATCTTATACAATAAAGCCAACTCTTGTTTTAATCCGATTCGTGTTAATGTCATCTATATATTGTTGCATTAAATTTCTAACAGCTTAACAAGTTTTTTTTTTGGAAAAATATTTGACAATATTGATTTTACAAGTCTCTGACTGACATTATAACAGGATTTGATTTTTCCCAAACTATTTCATCCAAACGTATTTCTACAGCATCCTTTTCTAACACTATGGTGCACCATTCACTTGTATAGTGTTATTCGAATGTGTAGTGTTATTTTAGAGAGTACTCACATGATCCAGTGGGCTAAGACGAATGCCAGAAACTGGTCTTGATTCAGCCAAATCAAAACTGGAAGCATGAAGACTAACAGAGAAATTAAATGTAACATGAATCAAATAGCCTTTTTTTCTTAATCGCACGCTCCCTGCCTCTGCCATTGAGTATGGAGAAAACAAAGAGTAAGGGAAGCATGACAGTGCATGGCATGTACATCTTTACATCCCAGCTTTCTTTTCATGAATGCTGTTTACCTTTGATACCTGGCAAGGCACCAGTGTCAAGGGAGAGGAATCCTGAGACCAGTTGCACATCTGTCCTGATACAGCTTATTTTATACATGTCTACCACAGTTCTCCACTGCCAGCCTAAATCCATGCACATGCCCAAAGGTGTTTAGCACCCAAGCCATCTGACAAGTTCCAGAACAGTGCACGGGAGAAAGCTCCTGTTTGTGCAAGCTTGCTCCTTCCCACAGCACACACAGAACTAGTCATTCTCAGACTCCTTCCTTCTCGAAGGCCACAACATGTATGCAGTAAGGAAAATAATATACACAGAGTGCTTGAAGTCATGCTACCATGAAAAGAGCATAGACACCAACTCACTTGCTGGCCATTCAAGCACATTTTGGCATGCTTTGTGGGATGCCAGAGAGTTTCTAGATTATCTTAAGAAAAATGTGGTTTACAGACATTTTTTCTCCTTCTTCCCCATTACTCTTCATGTACAAAAGCCATGGCTGCCTCTGGAGGAGAAAGAGGATCCATAGGAACTTCCTGGACATGGAGATTGACATAAACAGTGAGCATCATTAGAAGGATGCGATTAGGTAGAGGTAACCCAGGAAGAACCACCATAAACAATTACAGAAACAAATCCCTTGCTGCTAAACGGTATTTGAAAATCTGAAAGACAATTACCTGAAAACTGAAGGGGGTCTATTTTCAGGAGTTCGTGAGGATCCAGATCCAAAAAGTTTCCTTTGATCCTCTGTAGGTGTAAACGGTCTCTGAGTTCTTAGTGTTCGTAAGACATTTCTTGCTTCGTTTATAATCTCAGAACTGGTCTTCTGCTTTGGCATAGAAAGCCTATAGAATGGTTCTGGCTTTTCTGCACTTGTATTCTTGAAAGCTTGCATTCCTCTGCAAAGATGTTCACAGAAGAACACGGTATAATTTATGTAGATGGCACAGAATACAATACTAATGTTTACATTGCCCTGTGCCATGTGCTCTAGGTGTCCATGCTTAAGCAGGGCTTTGGACTAGATGATCCCTAGAGGTCCCTTCCAATCTCAACCATTCTGTGTAATGTAGTTTACCCACAGATAACCACTTCTGTGAAACAGCACCACCTCTGACTGCCATCAGTTTTTGCTTTCAATCACAAACTATCTATTCTAGAAGCACATTTATTAACTAGTTACAATTGACACCAAACTTTCAATAGCAATCTCTGTAGAGCTCCCACAGGTCATTTTTGCAACGTTACTTATTAAAACTTTATTTTTAATGAGTGGAAAGGGGGATTGAAATAAGATTTATTACTCAAGCTTACAGTGGAAAAGTTCCTTTGTCAGTTAAAAAGGTAAAATGTGAAGACAAAAAAAAACACCAAAAGAAACAAACAAACAAAAAAAACACGCTAAAGGAAACACGCTAAAGCTTTAATAATTAACATTGCAAAAAACTACCTGCATGTTGCCGGGAGCTCCCAGGATGAAAGCAGAGCGATCCGGGAGGTGGCACTGGGCGGCAGCACTGAGCACAGCTCAAGACTATTTCCACTGATCCTGACATGGCATTTGTATTTAATAATAATGCCATCGTTGAGCGTTATGTCAATGTATCAGCCACTGGTAGCCCTGAATTACTAGTCAGAAAATGTAAAAGAGCATCGAGAAACAAGTAAACACCGTCGTAAAAATATGAGGATATTCATAGGGTAAGAAGATTCTCTTTCAAGCAAGTAAGAGGTACAAGAAATAACACAACTGAATGAGTTTGTCTGCTGTACTATCACAGCACCACTATGGCCTTTTCTGACCTTATAACAATAGAAAGATTCATATTCTTCATTTTAAATGCTTCAGCATTTGCTCTGCTGCAGCAAAATGCATGAAGTTTCATACTTGATCCCCTTGTACAAATTTCTATTTAAACTATTTTCAAACTTTTACTTTTAAGTATTTTAGTTAAAAAAGGCATTATTCTAGTTATCAGTGCTTATTTCTGAAAAATCCATCAATAACATCATTTTACTACCCAATATCACCCCTTTGCAGCAGGAGACAGAAAACAGCAGTGTTGCAGCCTCAATAGGGACAGTGGATCTTGTCCCTCGTGACTGTCACCATTTCCCAGGGAGCCTTTAACTTGCACTGATGAAGAGCTCTTCTCTGCCTCTGCACTGCAAGGCTTACAGCAGTCTCTGAAAAGTTGTGCTTGGTCTGTTGCTATATTCCTCCCCAGGGTTTACCTCAGATCTCAGGGCAATACCATGGGATTGCACCGCAGTGCACGGACTGGGTATATCTCAGGGAACACTAAACGCAGTGCTGCATTTCATAGGACAAACATGCTGGTTGTGACTGGAATACAGCAGGAGGATGCCTAAGTCATTGTAGCAAGGAAATAAACTTCAGCTAGATATTAGTCTAACATGAACGGAAAGATTAAAAACTGTCCAAAAGCCCATTAAACCCCTTTAATAAAAACCTGGGTACTACAGCAGGTGTTACCATACAACTTTTAAGGGCAACAGTGACTGCTTTGCCAAACTCATGAGGAGAAACCTTGTGCCCAGGCTGTAAAAACCTCTGCTCACTGACAGTCCAAGCAAGTCTCTAAAGTGGTTAATATCCAAATATAGATTTAAGAGTTATTGTAAGACATATTCAATAAGAGATATGATCAGACACAACAATATTTAAGCAGTAACTCAAAAAAAACTTGCAGCACATCAGTTACCACTGAGATAAATTCAGATTCACCAAGTTTTGCAGCAGACAACTCCTTACCAATCAAATAAAAAAGAAAAAAGAAAAAAGAAACTGCACCTGTAGTTCATCAGAGATCCCTACTTTCAGTGTGGCCGGCAGACACCACATCCAAGATGGATCCAACCGAACATGGCAGCACCTGTGGAATAAAAATTAAACAGAGTCTCACCCGAACACTGTAGGGCAACGGTGACAAACCCGGCACGACCAGACGCTCCCAAGGCCCGCTGAGCACCAGCCACCGCCACCCGCC